TATTTCAAAAACAAAGGCCTGAAAGTGGAGATCACCACAGAAACAATAACAATGAAAGACGGATCCTACGGCATCACGCTGACCTGGTCTGACACGGGGCACATCATTCGCAAACAGTAAGCTGCTGAACATTTGTTGTCTGCTTTATGGAAACCATTTGCAACACAGCATTGGACCGACCCTGCTATGGGTGGGATCCAGGTCACAGGGTACACGTGAATCTTAGCTAGATGTCTGAGCTCTCGTTATAGTTAATGAAATTAGGCAGTAGGGCCAAGAGAGCGATTCAGTTGATCAGACACAAGTAGAAAGAGCTGAATTCCTCCCCCTACTGCTGGTTGCATTAGCTAAGACCAGGATTCAGTTGCCTAAACACAAGCACCTAATGATACTTGAGATACCTTCAGGGTTCCTGACACGATGGGAGACATGACTCACAACATCCAGGAGACCTTCACCTGCAGATTAACAGCTACAGCCATGCTGGACACCCTACAGCACTAGACACCTGTTTAGGCAACAGGATCAATTCCAAAATCTCCATTCATTGTAGCAAGAGCTTAAATTTGTAGGCCAAGATTTGGTTTGCCTGAATATGGGCATGAAGTGTCTGTCCTATTAGGCACTGTCCTGCCAGACCTCTGGGTACCACTCCCAAGGCTGTGGGTTTCTGATGGATCCTCCATCATACCTGCCAGTCCCGTGCGGTTGTTCTGGATGCCTGAGAGCATCTCAAGGAACCTGAGAGCTTATTGTGAGCAGCTGAGCTGAGTCCTTCCTTTGGTTCATCTCTGCCAGGCTTCTCATATCTGTGAAGAAAGAAAGCAACGTTACTATCACCGTGGGTGAGGAGATGTCCTTCATGGTTTTGCTGCACCGCGTGTGGAAGAAACACCCAGTTAATGTTGACTTCCTGGGAATCTACATTCCACCTGAAAACCGGTTCTCTCCTGCAGCCCACGGGCTGATAGGTAAGGGCTGCGGGTCGGGCGGTGGGAACGGCGGGGCACTAGGAAGGGTTTTTGCTAGATCTTTGAGTGGGTTAGCTGGCGTCAGGGTCTTGATGGGGAAGGTGTGAAAATTATTCAAATAGAAAATGAGGGAGATTCCGGTAATGTCCTGGAAGCCCCAAGGACATTGCAGAACATCAGGGACCAGGAGATTATTCCTCGTCCCAGCTGGGGAGGGTGTTTTCAAAACAGGCCTGACTGGACTTGGTGACACTGCAATGGGGCTTTCCCAGCCTGGCTCATCTGCTGCGGATTGAAAATAAAAAGACTGAAACAAACCCCTCAAACCTTCTTTCTGAGAAGACTTCTGTGCAAACGGTTGTGATTCAGCTCTGCCCTGAATGACAGCCCTTTTCTGGCAACGGTATAAAACAAAAGCAAGGGCTCAGTTCATAGGGAAAATCAGCCCTCTGAGCCCTGGGCCCACCCAAGACTCCTTTTAAAATGTGGGAATCCTGAGCAGCAGAGGTTGTTTTCCCAAATACTCTTCGGCGCTGCAGTCTGCTTCGGTAGAAGAGGTTTGCTGGCTCAGAAGCAGAGCTTTTTACCCCCCCAGTGCGGGTGATCCGACAGCGCTGGAGACACGCTGCCCTGTGATCCGTGCAGGAGGGGTTTGCCTGCTGCAGCTAGTTTGATTTTCCAAAAGTGCCCGGCAGCGGCTTACAGGAGAGCCTCAAAGGTTAGGACACACCGAGAGCTTTAAACCTCTCTTTGATCAGGTCAGTTTACCTCTGAACCAGAAGTGTATATCCACCACCAAAGACCTGGGCAAGCTCCAGAGAAACCACAAGCCACCATGGAAGTGAAAGGCAACAAGCTCACTGTTACCAGGTAAGAACAACGTGCTTTACTGCTCTCTTTCTAAATCTGATTGCTTTTCAATGATGTCAATGACTGCAGGCTTATTAACTCTCAAGGATCTCAGGGAAAAAAAATCCCTCTCTTTGCCCTCTGCTGATAATCTGGTTTTAACAGTTGGTAAAACACTTGGGACAAGTTGGGTTCTTTTGGATTTGTGCATGAACAGTTCTGTCCATGTAGCTGCCCAGCATCCGACAGGCCGTGTAAAAGTGCCTGGGACCCCCACAAAAGGGCCCACGAGGTCACAGAACCGTAAAACCCATTGCATTTTGTGGTTGTTTCCACTCTCTGCTGGTGGAGGACACACATCTCACCGCTTTGGCAGAGCAGCGCCATGAATGAGCAGGATTATCCATGTCTTCTTGTCTACTTGTCATGCCATGACTTTCATTTTGGGTGGCCGCTTCCTCACAGGGGATTGCAGAAGGACTACAGGACGGAGCGCGTGCTTGGGACCGATGTGCAGTGCTGGTTTGTGCACAACAGCGGGAAAGGTTTCATAGACGGCCACTACAAAGATTACCTCGTCCCCCACCTGTACAGCTTTCTGAAGAAACCCTGAATGCTCCCAACACAAAACCGGTTTCTTACAAAAAAAATATTCTTATCTGCTCCTTCACGCCCCAACAACTCTTCCGAACAGTAGCTGTCAGTCTGTCAAGCCAGATCGACCGAAGGTGACTTCACCACCGTTCGCTTTATAAATGATCAGTGTTTCAAAGCAATGTAACTCCCTTTTCTGTTAAAAAATGAAATCTGTAATAAAGTGACATGCTGGGTTGTGGTAGGTGTCTTGCACTTCTGTGCCTGATTTAGTCGACATTAAACCCCATTAAACATTTCAGCTGTTTTGTAATATACATTTCACAGTAAACTCGTAACAGCATTGTGGCTGCTGCAGCGTGGGTAACACACGTGACCAGATTCAATACTTACACTTTTGGTTTTTCAGACTGCTGGGAAAATAGAAGTTCATGCACTGCTGGACTGGGCAGAAAGCAATGGGGTTTTTAAGCCTGGCCAGGAGGATGGGCATTAGATGTAAGGGAAATCCAAGAGAAAAGGAACATGGGCTCTGGAATGGGTATCGCGAGGAGTCTCCAGTCCTTGAGGATGGATTAACCAGTGGTGAGGAATGTCCTTGAAATAGCTGATGCTGCCATATTGCAGGAAAATGAATTAGGTGAGTCTGAGATATCCTCCAGCCTATTTTTTTTTGTGAAAATTTCAACGTCACAGTGGAGCTCACACCCAGATATAAACCTGGGATAGCAGGAAAAATTCAGACTTCATAGAATTCACCATCAGTACTAAAAACTTCCCATCCAGTGGGATCAGCTCCCAAAAGATGCCTTACTCTTCAATAGTATTCAACAATGAATGAGATCAGTAGCAAACCAAGTATACAGGTATCTGTACCTAGAGCCAGATTTAAAACTCTGCTTTCAGGCAACCTTAGGAAAAAAACGTTGGCCAGATTCTTCTCGGCGGCCTTAATCTGGGAAGGGGACTCAAGTCATCTACTTACCATTCTGAACTTTATTTTCCTTCTCTTACGAATGAAAGGCTGGTACATGACCTTTCTTGCAGCCATGGTGTCAGGAGTGAGAGGATTGATGTGTTTTAACTGTCTCTTCAAAGTAACTCTCCGAAGTGTGAGCAACTTCCCTACAACCACTCACTGCTTCTTTGAACTCCTTTGTTAGCTTTGGCCTCCCCACCCTCCTGCAGCAGCGAGTTCCCCAGTTTAACTAGGCCCTGTGGGGGGAAGAGAAACCTGTCAAGTGCTTTTTTAAATCCCCAAATCAGTAATTCCCGTTTCCTAGCTTGTATGTGACTACAAGCTGTGAATAATCATTCCCTGTTCATCTCCACAGAATTCGTAACTTATCTATTATATTCACTTTAACTTTTCAGGCTCCATAATTTTACGTGTAATTATTTTCAGTGATACAGAAGCAGTTCTGTTCTGTCACTTATCCTCATTACTCTCCTACGTACCTCTTCTCACTCAGTACCTGTTCTTTGAGAACGGGTGGAGCTGTTTACACAATCCAGGTTGCACAAAGAGCCTGAATTAACAGACAAGTGTGTCTTCTGCCTCCGGTTCCCTTCCTCACAATTCTCCATTCTTTAGACACTGCATTACTGCTCGACTCTGCCTTGCATTTATGTCCGGGATCCCTGGAAAGCCATTTGATGTCCTCTGTGAGGTTATTTCAGGCTACTCCAGACAGCAGCTGTTTCACTAAAACTCTGCAGTCTTTCAGTTTTCCTGCAGGGGTCCCCTGGAAACCACAAATCAACAAGACAGTGAACCTTTGAGGCAAGGAAAGGGACAAGGAACAGCGAGTTTTGCCTCTAGCGACCTTGAACTTTTAAACTGCAACATAACTGATGTCCTTGCGTCAGGACAGCAACCCTCAGCTGAGAGCTCCTCTGAAGGGTATGGGGGCTATCGGTCTTCTTTCCATCAGGTTCCAGGGACGCACAACCTCGCCGGGGGCAGGCGGGACCATCAGCTGATGGTTTGTGTTTTGCCTGGGATGAGTTGCATCTTTCTTTTACACAAATGAGGCCGTGCACCGGCTGGGCACTTCGCTGTGCTCTTCGGTGGATATAAACCAACAGACGCATCACGCGTTCAAAAGGCTGGTAAGAAATACACTGCCCTAAGAAAGGTTTATGTTTATTCCTGAACTGCCTTAGAAATTAAACATCGTACAAAATGTGACATTTTTAAAAATATAAAAAAAGTAATGTTACAGCATGCAGCATGAGTAATGTTACTCATGTAGTAGAGCAACAACGGAAGCACGAACAAAGGAAAGGGTTCTGGAAAACCCAAACAGCAATCACCAATTCATATCCGCACACACTTGGGCTGGCATCCTACAAACCCCACAAGTAACGTCCATCTTGGAGTCCATATGAAGATAAATTGCGTATTAGTATTACTAGGAACTCTGACAAACAAGATGACGGAGGAGAGCTGACTTGCATTCTACTATCACTGATGTGCTAACCAAAAAATAAGTCGGCGACAGCACTTAATAAACCAGACCATTCTTACAACATCCAGGAAAATAATCCCTTGCAGCACTGTTACCTCCCTGCTAGTCTCTTAATCCCTTCCCTTGTTCCTGCAGCCAGAACTCAATTTTGGCTGCAGATTGAGAAGTGTGTTGTTTAAACTCCACTGGCTCCGACACACGCTGCCTGCCTCAAGCAGCTATTTGTAGGTAATTCTCTCTCTTATGGAACTGCTAACATTCTTCAGTAAAGAAAATACTCCAGCTTGCAGCCATCTGCTATATTTTACAAAAGGGAATTGAACCAAATATTATAACTTTGATATAGAATCAGATGAAATATTTCCACTGATAAGATTTCCACAAACATTTTATATAACAAATCCATAGTGATCTTTAAATAAATCCAGTTTGCTTCTGGTTAAATTCTATATACATTATAAATACATACACACACACAATTAAAACCCTGACATGGTAGAGTCTTGTGTCTGCCTGCAAGATGCCAGAAAGATGTCTTTGGGAACCAAAATCTTCTCTGATCCACAATTAGCCCCTCAGGCGAGTTTGGAAATGTCTTCATACTGGATATCTTCAACTCGGCGTCCTTTTAAAGGTCCCTGGAGAATAACGTAGTGTAAGAAATAAGATCAAAATATAAACTTGTTTTTTTGTTCAATTCCCAATAGGGAGCTTAAAGTAAGATAGCTAAAGGGGCTGTACGAAATCTCACCACATTCAGACATTTTTCAAGAAGCACAACCAACGTGAATAGAACTGGAAATCAGGCATTAGTGGTTTTACTCACTGCTGCACAGAGTAAAAGCACGACGACTACTTTTCTGTTGAAGTGCTCTGTCCAAAAGCCACGTATAACTGCACACTGGAGGCTGTACAGGGGATGCACAGCAGAACGCATCCAAACTGCAGGTTTGGGATTTGCTCATGACACAGTGTTTTCAGTTTCATTATTTTCAACCTGACCAGAGAATGTGACAGGGCCTCAACACCTTCCCAGAAATCTTTTCACTTTCAGGACACTTTTTGTGTTAGTTAAAGTCCTTGCAATTTTGGGGCAAACATAAGCAGCTGTTTTGAATTAATTCACTGTGAACTTATAAGTAGTGAAAGATTTAATTTTGAATACAAACTTCTTATATATAAAAATCCTGGTCACCCTAGAATTAATAAGAAAATTCTCACAGACTTCACTGGTTTCCAGGAGTAATTTCACTTATTTTTAATCTATAGACTCAGAGTTCATGCAGGAAGGGGAAATCTTAACACCTACAACCATCAGAACTAGAGAAAAACTACCCTTGCTCTCCAAGACCAACGTTATCATGATCCTTAGCTCCAACCAAAGCCCCTGCTGTGGTTCGCACATCTGCACAGTCTCTTCTCAAGCAAATTCTCCAGAATCCAACATGGGCTGAGTTTCTGCAGCCCTTCTTTGAACAGGATCCTAACAGGGTCTCTCTCCTGCAAGCTGTGTTTAAGAAATGTGACTTTGAGCCAATATCCTCTCTGCTGTATCAATGAGTTTAAAGATTGCTTTTGCAGAGGAGAACAAAGTAGCCAGGCAGACATGATGACATGGCCTAATTTTAGCCCAGAGAAAGGCGATACGTAAAAAAACAAAACCAACAACAAACAAATCCAAAACCAAAAAATCAACCATAATCATTAACCATGAACAAGACAACAAATAAGCACATAAAGCTCCACGTTCAGTCTGGAAAAGGCAGGAGAAAATTCACCTCCTTGCATATTTCACATTTTTTACCTTCCCACAAAATAGTACAACAACAGCCACATTCAAAATAAACATACAAAATATTCTGCAAGTCTCTTTCAAGTTCAAAACTTGCTAAATTCAGCATGCTGGCATCTTTTTAAAGGCAAACAGCAGAGCATTAATCTGCAATGGGGAATATGTGGCTGTTTTCCTACTGGTTGGGAATAGGCGGGGGGTGGCCACAGCATTTTGCACACCGTAAATCCCACCCGTAAGACAGGATTAATGACACTATCTTTCTTTGTGAAAGCTCTCCAATGTACAGATAAAAAGGGCTCTACGCAAATGAGATCTTGCAGTGTTTGATACGTACAGAGTCAATGATTATCGTTGCTGAAAACCTCTTTTCATTGATAGATTCCAAGATGCCTTCATTTCCCCTGTAACCACCATTTAATACCATCACTTTCTTGCCTGAAATGAGATACAGGAAAACAGTTACACAACAGGGCTCTCAACTTCTTTTGATGGAGCTGTGAACTCACCAACACCATCAACCAGCTCTTCACCAGCTGCAGAAATGCAGACTGCGTCAGGTCTGCTGAAAAAAATGTGAATCCCAAAATCTTATGCCCTGTTTCCCCCCTACACTGACATTGTTCTGCTCACCGTTCCCTGAAATACTGGTCAGATGCTACACACAAGTGTTAGTGTGTACCAGCCAAAGAAACACCAGTGAACCAAACAGGAGATGAGGTAAGCTTTGCCAAGTACCCACAGCTAGTCGAGGCATGACTTTGGAGGGAAGATACAGGATAAATATGACCAAGGGCTCTGTAGGGCTCCCAGAGATGCTTCCTCGCAGCTGAAGAGAGACGCTTTCATCTCGTCAAATGAACTGATTCCTAAAGCACTTCTGCCTTCTCAGAAAAGAATCTAATTGTTACAAGAAGGGACTGTGAAGTCTCACAGCAGAAGCAATGTAATAATTCCCTAGAAAGTAACCAGAGGATATTTGGTAAATGATCAGAGTAGCTTACGAAATGCTGTCCCAAGAGCAAGATGGCTCTTGTTATGGTACTTTCAAGTGGATGAATTATAGTTTAAAAGAGCTGAAATATAAGTTTTGCAGTGACAACTAAGCTGAAAAATGAACAAAACAGCTATACCTGGTGCGGGTATTACAGTTTCCAGATGCGTCTGGTCAAGCTTCAGTTTGTCTCCAGAATCAATCATCTTCACAACTGCTGTATATTTGTCAATCACTTCCTGTTGTGAAAGGCAGAGCCCAATCAGAAAAATAACAAAATTCTCTAAATTTACATTTCAAAATTAACAAACTCAGGACCATGAGTCTGCATTTCTACATTTTCAGAAACAGCAAGGACTTCTGAGCTGTTCTAATGGCATCCAGCTTTCACGAACTGCTGACTGGCCCTGCTCTGAAGTTAAGGCTAGATTAAGAGGGCTCCTCTTGAACATCAATGACTGGTCTAATTGACCACTGATTTTGTTGGCCTTGTCTGAAGGTTTTGTCAACCTTCGGGTTAGCTATCTTAGCTATTCTCTCAGAGATGGAGAGTAAATTAGAGGCTTCTTTCCCCCATGGGAGGCTAGGCTGGCTGGAAGCCACACAGTGACAACTGGGATACTACCTCTCAGTGAGGTGAAACGTCACTGATCATCTTTGCGCCTATTGGAAACCATCTTCCACCTCTTATATTCAGAGCTCAATAGGAGACAGCCATTGAGACTCGTAAACCCTCCCAGATGCTTACCAAAACCAGCTGTGATTCTGAGCTCTATAGGCTCTTGTCAATCATCCAAAATGCACCTGGGTGTTGTCTTTGGCACTCTTGCCAGAGACTGTTGAGCCTTGGACTACCTAGTACAACATCACTTCATTGGCAGTGGCTAAAATAAAACACTTCGAAAGAACAGAGCAAGGCTTACAGCCTGAAGAGTTTGTAGGCAAATGAGATCTTGTTCAAAGGCAGCCTGCAGCTTAAATATCAGCGCAAAACTGACTAGTCTCAGATTAAAATGCAATTGCACTGCTTTTGGTCATACCACATTGACAAAGTGACTGTTCTCCAAGATGGATGCGTTAATAGGGACAAACTACACAGAACAAAACAGTGCTTTGGAAAGGGTCACTGAGTAAATGACATTAAACCAATTCAGAGACTCACTTCCTGCCCAGAGTAAGTCCCAATACAGTTAAGGTGACGCTTCAGCCCCTATCGGTGTTGACTTAAGGCTGAACTACTTGCACAATGAAACAAAACTTCATAAGTCATCTGATACCAGAAAAGCCTAGCCAATGCCACATGCTTCCATTTGCACACTTTACCTTCACAACTGCCTTCTTCTTGTGATACTTCTCTCCAAGCTTTTTTGTTACAATTTTTACAACAATTTCCTGGAAGATTTGAAAGGAGAAAAAAAGAATAAAATGCTAAAATACACAAACATCTACACAATCTAAACTAACTGCACATTCAGGTTGCTCTGACTCCAACCACAGACTGGGCAGCACAGCACAGGAAGCAACAATAGTAAAGACTCAGCTTCCAGGAATTTGTCTTTATCCTCAAATTATTGCCTCAAAATAGCACCTCTCAAGACTTTTTTTTTTGTTTGTTTTACAACTACAGTCACACTTGAATTCAGGATATGATGTGACGGCCCACAACAGGTCAAGGGCAGGATTTCTTGATCTAGAATTCTAGTCAAAAAGTAGAAGCTGAGGTGAGGTCTCTCAGCTCAAAGGCTGATGTTGACTTCTACATCTCTGTGCGAGTCAACTACTAGGTAGAAAGAAGAAGGCTGTAAGTAATAGCATGATTTAAACATGATCGGTAGAGACTCGCAGTACCAACTCTTTAATTAGAGAATTCCACCCCATCTGAGATCAGGCGTACAATGCTTCAGACTGCAGATCATGCTCAACCAGAAGAGTAATTCCTCCCAGATACTGTAATATTCCACATTTGGCAGCTTGGAAAGTAAGAGTGAATTTAGTTTGGAATCTGGTTTTGGATCCTTACACGAATCAATAGCGGCTTCAGAGAGGCAGAATTGGTTGTATTTGGTATAA